TTTCTTTTCTTTTCTTTTCTTTTCTTTTCTTTTCTTTTCTTTTCTTTTCTTTTCTTTTCTTTTCTTTTCTTTTCTTTTCTTTTCTTTTCAAGGGGGATGTGATTTGGCCACCTGAGGATCTTTCACCTGGCTTTGTGGAGATTTCAGCTGGTTTTGAGGGCCATATCCTGTTCCAGCTGTATCTGCACAAGGTTTGTTAACACGATTTCATTGTGCTCAGCTGTGTGTCAGAGTTGTTTTTTAATGCCCTCACTTAATCATAAGGATATTTAAATGGTTCTCTCTCCTGATTATGGGGACTTGCATGTTTGATGATTCCTGTGATCCTTAATCTGGGAAATATCCTTGTTAAGTCAAAGGAGCTGCAGTGTCTATACTTAAATGGAGTGACAGAATGGATCCTTAACATTTTTATGAGTGATATAGTAGGATTAAAGGTTCTAGGTGATGTTAGTTGTCTTCAGAACGTTTTTGGCAACATTATGTTTTGTACTGATTGTGCTTAGCTATCTTGGTATAACTGCTGTTGGAATAATAAGCAGAAGAAAGTATATTCAGGCAAAAGACCCCCAGACTATGCCTTGGATCCACCCTGCTGCAACTTGAGTTTATCTTGGGGAAAACGTTCAGGGTGTTGCAGAGTCTGACCTATTTCTTGCATGCTATGTTAAAATAAATAAAAAATCAACCTCTTTTTGCTTTGCAGAAATAATTTTATCATAGCTGAAAAGCCAAATGCAAATGCTGGTGCTTTTGGTGCTTTATAGTGCTGAGACTGCTTCAGGAGAACATTGGTGGGGAAGTTTGCCTGTGAATCTTCTAAAAAGCTGAAGATGAGCAGCGCAGGTAAACCTGAGCCATCACCTGACTCCTCATTTCAGAAAAGCATTCCAAGTTCATCATTGTTCCCCATGAAGGTTATTGATTAATTATAAAATCAGACGCTTAGAATGGTTACTTGAGGGCTTATAAAATTGGAGTAAAAACAAATAGGAAAGATTCAAATATTTATAAAACAGATTTATTTCCGGAATATTTTGTTTGAATAAGTCCCCACTAATTTCTATCACTCTGTTTGGGGAAAAAAAAAACACTTCTATAAAGCTAGTTTTTAGTCTTCTTCACTGTCCTTTTCTTTTTGCTTCTTTTCTCTCTGATAGTAACTTTTTTGTACAATTCCCCCAACACACCACAGTAGCAATGTAATACTGCTTTCCAAACATACATGCGTGGAGGATGGCTTTTTCTGATGGTTAATACTTGATTTTGTTGCTCTGTTAGCCCCTCCTCTTGAAGTGGTGTGGATGTTCTGTCAATTTCTTTGTGTGTGTTTGTATGTGTGTGTGCGCAGAGGGAGTCCAGACTTCTGGTTGCTCTGGGCAGCTATAATGGATGTTTAGTTGTGAATTGAATGGATACAATAAATACCACCTCTTTGATAACTAAAGGCACAATGGTTTTTAAGCTTTACAAAACCAAACTGTGTTTTGGTAGCAATAAAATGTGTGTTTCTGGTAACAGATTTTATATTCACTGTTCTGTGATTCTATATATGCTAGAAACTATAGCGTTAGGAGTTTCTTGTTTTATTCAGATGACATGGCTTTCCCTTTTCCCTTTAATTGTTTAGCTCTGTTTAATTTTCAGTGTTACATTTTAAACTGCACTGAACACAACACTTTTGAAGAAGAATGAATTAATAAAATGGGGTAAAGTATTTTTCGTTACGACTTTAAAAAAAAGCAAACAGATAACTTTTTGGAAGGCTGTATGCTGTAGTCTCTAAACTGCTCAAGTTGTTGTCGTGTGAACTCATTTGTGAGCAGGAAGACAGAGGACTCATCAAGTGCCTCATTCCATAGTGTGAAATGAAGTTTGTGGGTGGACTTTTCACTGGCCTGCATTGTGCTTTGTCTCCTTGTGACACGCTGGTTAAATGGACAGGACGAGCCTTTGTAGCTTTGCAGTGTCCCATTGTTATTGGCAGAGAGAGAGCAGTGCAGCACTGGTGCAGCTGTTCATTAACTGGAGATTGGAAAACATGGTGCAGGGCAAACCAGAAAATGCTAGATCATAGTTTTGAATCTGAATCTCGAAGATGCTTCTGGCAGTGTGAAACACTCCCTTTCCTTAAGAACACGATTACCTCTAATCCTCATTGTGTGACACTGCAGATGGAGACAGTATTGAGCATCTATTAGCAATTCAGATATGCAGGGCTGAGACCAAAGTTTTGATCTTTTATGCTTTCTGAGGATGTCTGAAGAGTATTTTTGGCCTGGGGGTTTTACACAGACCTATTTGTGAGAAATGCTGAGCTCCCATTTCTTTTCTTTCTGCTTTGCTGAGGGTGGGGTTCTGAAAGCCACTGCTGAAAATTTCAGTTGTAGCCTGTCTTTTTGAAGTAGTTGCAATTTAAATACTTTGTGAGCATGAAGTATTCTAATTTCCTCTGGAATAACAAGCATCTTCTTTTAACAGTAGCCGAGAGGGAGCCAGCTAGAGACACTTTTCATGCAATCTCCCCAACTCATGCGAAATATCATACCTCAGGGTACCATACATGTTCTGCTTAGCTGACCTGGACATTAACCATTTCCTTTAATAAGGGAGGAAGGGATTGACCAGGACTGCAGGTTTGGGATGTTTGCTGGAAGGCTAAGATGTGCTGCCACCTCAAATTGAGGGCTATCAGGTGCTTACGCTGTTCACAGAATCCCAGAGCTGAATGGCCGCTGTCACGTAGGACAAGCAAACAGAGGGGTCCAGAGGATGTCATGTGTCTGTTCTCATGAGGCATTTCAGATGTCCTGGAAAAGCCATTAAAAAATGCAAGAACACTGTACTTCATTCCTTGTGCAGACAACAGTGCTGGGGAGCACCACTCCGGGGGCATTTTAATGCTGGTGTGAAGTCTAGATGTTTTTCTGGCAGGTCTGTGTTGATGGTTGGGGAACTGGGTTTTCCTGTAAACTGGAAGGCTTGTTTTCTGGATACTCCCGGTTTTATCCTGGTCATTGAAATTCTGTTAATATGGACCAATTTGCCCTTGCTATTATTTACTCATTAAGCATTTTATTTAAGAAGCAGATATCACAGAACAAAGTAAAAATATCAATCGACATGTTGATCACAGAGAAGGCAATCTGTCACATACATTTCTTCTGCAGAATGCTTACAAATACGGGACTCGTGAGATGGTAACTCTCTGTTGCTTTGGCTATGGTGCAAAAGATTAAAGCGTGGAGCAGTGTGTTTGATTGATTTCAGTATAGCAGAGTCCTTTGCTAGTATGTGACCAGCGGCACTGAGACAAAGGATGATTTTCAGAACGTGGTGGGGGAGCCTGGGGCAACTTTCACAGAGGTCACAGAACAGGGTCTGTCCCAGCTGAGTGGGTAAGTGATCTCCCTGCAGGAGAGAGCAACTTCTGCTTTTACATACCCGAGTTTCTTATTTGCTCATGATATGACAGTATAAAAGACAATCAAAATTAATTAACATATCCAATCTTTTTTTTTTCTTCATAAGTCTTTTCAGTTACTGAAAACTACTGTATTTTCCAACATTAAAATACTGCACTGAGTTATCAGTATTCTTGTGTACTCTTTCATGTTCAAAATACGGAAGCGTACTCCTAGATAACTCCAGATAACTTCCTGTCTTTAATTTAGTACATGTATGTACATGACACTTTTCAGAAAAATATAAAGAATCTCAAAAAAAGGTCAATGTGCAGAGTATGAAGTAGTACATCACACTGCCTTCCCATATTATTTTTCATTAATGAAAATGTTTAAAAAGTCATAAAATAATCATGGAAGTATTAGTCAACAATCCTACTAGAGAATGCACTCACATCTGTATTTTCTTTTTTTCTTATGATCAGAAAACACTGCTCACAGAAACTCTGTCAGTCCTTTTATCTCTGCGTAGGGTCACCTGGAATGACCTCAGAATTTCCATATGAGCAATAAAGAGCTGTGCTTTTCAGTGCCAGACTTGCTTTCTGGTCCAGCAAGTATAGGAACAAATGCTGAGCTCTTACTGTTGTGAACTGCATATTTATAATTTTTAAAACACCTATTTTCAGAAGCAAATTAAACTCCTTGGACAGGATTCACAAAGTTACACAGGTACTTAAAATGCAGATAAACTCTAGCTGGGATTTTTAAAATGAGTGTTGGGACTCCAAAATACATAATTGCACCTTTGGGTCAGGACTGACCCTGGTTCACTTCTTGAAGATGGGACTTAGGAACCACTGTCTCTCAGAGAGATATCTTAAAGCAAGCAAATATTTTCCTATATAAAGCTGGGCTTGAGAAAGCATATGTTTCTGTGTTTTACTTCATTTGGCTGACACTTACACCATGCTTTAAATTCTACAGCATGTGTATTTCCTGAATCTGCACTGCATTTCCTGAATCTGCAAGCTTTGTGAAAAAAAAAAAAAAAAAAGCAAAAAAGCAGACTTCACTCATGGTACCAATGTATGAAAGTTTCTTAGAAACTGCCTGCCACATCACCTGAAGTCCCTTAAGACTCAGCAGATCACCTTGGTCTTGCCTGGGCTCTTACAGCAAGCAGTTTTAGACTGTCTGTTATGATGTCCCAAGCTGTCTGCGATAGCAACTTGGTCTTGTGTGTAAAGCCTTTCCTTTGCAGGAGTGCTAAATACTCCTGCAACTCTCTTAATATACTTCGTAGAAAAAGTAACCCATCTTTTGGCTAATCTTAACCCATCTTTGGGCTTGTTTTCAGTCAGGAGAAAAAGCCAACCTTGCTATGGCCATCACAGTGGGAGTACAAGTTGTGCGTAATTCATTTTTGGAGTTTCTAGCACTGCTAGGACAAAAGGTTTAGGATTCTCAACTGCCTTAAGGTTCAGCTGTTGCAGTATCTCAGGGCAATCTGAATTGTCCTAACCTGATGACTGAATTAGGAATAAGAACTAAGTTTTTCTAAGTTCCTACTACTTTGGTATAATTTGGGAACAATTTGGAGCAGAGTATATTGCAGCCATGGTTTTGCAGCCACTGTGTTTCATTGCAGATGTACCCCTCGCAAATAGAAACCCCTGATATGGTTAGAAAGTACATTATCTGATAAGTGACAATATGTTTGTTAAAATTATGTTTCAAAGTAAATCACCAACGCAAGCAGGCATGCAATCTGGTGAACAAAAGCTGTTCAGTGCCGTGATGCACGTGCAGGCAGCATCTGCCACGTACAGGTGATCAGCCTGCAGCTGCTCTGACACACAGGTGAGCAGTGTGGGAGAGCATCCCTGATGCCGTGCTGCAGCCAGGAGCATCTGCCACCTGGCAGACCGATCCTCTCCCTCAATTGAAGGAGTCCCATCTGAGAGCGCGAGCTTTAGCAATGCAAAGACTTTATGACACACAAATGGAGAGCACATGTTCTGCTATAAAGAGTAATTGGATGAGGATCTGTCTTCTGGAATACTGAATGGAGAGTTCTGATCTGCATGCATAAGTATAATTTGTTCTCCAGTCCAGTGCAACACTTAGATGTATGCTTAATTGCAAGTCTCTGAGGTGCTCTGAAGAAAAGCATTTGTGGGAATACCATGCTAATGAGAGATGAGGAAGCAGCCACATGGATGAATACATGGGAATGGTGCCTTCTTTTTGCAAAGCACTCTCATTGTGCTCTTACTAAAACAACAGCAACCAAGCAATCTATTAAAAAGATAGAAATAAAATAAGGGGGAAAAAAAGGAAGAAAAAATTGCCCAGAGTAGAATAAAAATAATGGCAGAAAGGTGAACAAAAAGCCTGGCATTCTTCTGGTATTCATAAAAATACAGATTGTTCCACGGC